GAATTTATTAATATTGGAGCACAAGGGGTACTCCTACCCATTACAAATAAGAAACATATGCTAGCATGATAGAATGACAAAAATAAAAGCATCCACCACAGGCTGCAGAGCAATTAGCATCTCAAAAAGCCCTATACATATTTAGGGTAACGACTTCATCATGCATATAACAACTGTTCTTACTGTTGCCTCTCAATGAGGAGAAAAGCCACGTACCTCTCCATACTTTAAGCTGTACCCATTCCTTTCTACTGTTTATGGAATAATTTCTGCATTTGTTTATATTTTCTCACTAATAGAGCACATTCAACTGGTTTTACCTTCCATTCATGGAATGAAAAGACACACCCATGAATCTTATTCTTAATCCAGAAAAATGATTTGGCTTGGACCATCTCCATTAATCTTCCTCTAATGTTATTTCCATTGTTAAACACCTCATCATTTCTCCAATACCATAAATACCATGCAGCCACAAGGAAGATACAAGCACCCATCTCCTTCCCTATTTTCCTACCCAAATCGTTTACAAAAATGTCTGCCACACTTAGCACGTTATTAGGCATAACAGTCACCATGCCCCACCATTGTAGCACCTCTACCCAAAAAATCTATACTTCCTTACACATACTAAACAAGTGATTAACTTCCTCCACCTTGTCCTTACACAAAACACATTTTAATTCCTCTTCTTGCAAAGGTACCCCTCGCTTCCTAATATTCCACTTAGTTGAAAGCCTATCAAGGCATAATCTCCACCCAAAGAAAGACACTTTAGAGGGTACTAATTTACACCAAATTAACTTAATCCACTGCTCGCCTAGAACACGCTCTATTGGGGCTAAAAAATCATAAGCATTCTTCACCCTGTATCTACCCTCCGAATCATGTATCCACCTCCAACCATCTTCCACTCTTTTCTTTAATTGTAGCCTCTCCAATCCTTCCCTTAACTTCTCCTCCTCATCTTTTTCTCTCCCTATTCTCTCTCTCCACCATTCCATTTTCCAACGCCATTTGTCTCCTTCCCATACCCCCATATCACTAATCTTACACTCCTTGTTCGTAGACAATTCATACAATCTTGGATATACAACCCTTAAAGTTTTATTCCCTACGCATGGTTCACTCCAAAAGCTCACTCGATTCCCTTCCCCTACTTCCCACTTAAACCCCTCCACCAACATATTTCTAAGTTTCATGGATCTCCCCCCTATATTAATAATATCCCTCCATATTTTAGACATCCTCAAGTTCCCGATTGCTGTAATGTCCACGTCCTCCCACTTGCCCCCATAATATTTCTCCTTAACTATCCGTTTCCATAAGCTCTCTACACCATCCCCAAACCTAAACCACCACTTTCCTAAAAGAGCCCAATTTTTCCTACGTAAGTCTGACACCCCCAATCCCCCCTTTAGCTTACTACAGCATACATATTCCCATTTCACCCAAGAGATCTTTTTTTGTGACTCAACCCCTCCCCATAAAAAGGTTCTCTATATACTAATCAATTCAGCAAGCACATAATTTGGAATTAAAAACAATGACATATAAAAAATAGGTAAAGCAAAAAGTACCGAGTTGAGCAGAGTGAGGCGGCCACCAAAGGATAGCGAAGTAGCTTTCCAGATAGCGAAGCAGCTTTCCAGACAGCGAGTTTGGCTCGGAATTTATTTATCAGTGGCTCCCATAACTTCTTTCTCCTAGGATTTCCATCAATGGCCATACCAAGAGATTACTAGGAAGCATTAGTGCTACTGGAGGAATTTAGCATTATGCAACATATTGGTGATAATTGAAATCATTGACGTATACCACCTTGCTAAATTCCTTGATTGCTAGAATAATTCAGCAAAAATCAATAAAGTTTAGCAACGTGTGCTACGTTGTTGATAGTGCTTTTAGCAACATACTTTGTGTTGCTAATTGTCAAGTGCTCAAAAGACATAAAATTGGCACTATTTAAACATCTTTATTAGGTAGGATCTGATGGAGAGAGAGAGTGCTAGGGTTCGAGACAGGTTTCCGACAGCCAGGGACAGCGGCAGTGGTTTCCGGCGGCGGCTTCCAGGATACGGTAAGCACTTCATTGGGCAGGCAACGACATACTTTTTCTATGATTTTCCGGTGAATTATTCTGCTAAGGATCTGTGGCATAGATTTTGGTCTTTCGGGAAGGTAGCAGATGTTTATATTCCAGAAAGGAGAGATCGGAGAGGGCGTCGGTTTGGATTTGTTCGGATGTCTGAGGTTTCAGATGCCGAGGGTATGGAAAGAAAGTTGAATCAGATTTGGCTGGGTTCGTATCGCTTGAAGGTGAAATTGGCAGGAAACATGAAGTCTGGGAGGGAAGGGATGTCCAGAGGACGGCAGCAACAGCAAACAACAGCGAAGTGGTTCAGACGAGATCGAAAGGTGTCTCCTGGGTTAACATATGCACAGATTGTTGCTGGAAAACTCAAGGCATCTGATGAAGGGGAGTCACTGCACCATGTAGAAGAACAGGTAGCGGTGCAAAGAGTACTGGAAAAGAAAGAGGCTGGGTTTGAAAAACCTGGTGCAATGTTGAAAGAATTGGCAGTGATACCAGTGTCAATCCCTGATCAGGCTTCAACGTCAATAGCGAATGATGTCAGTGCAAATACTTATGTGCCGAAGGAGTCGAAGGCTAAGTTGGTTCTGCAGTTTTCTCCCAGGGAGGATGAAGTGGCATGGTTGAAGCAAAGTAGAGTGGCACTGGTTCGGTCGCTGGAGTTGGTGACGAAAATACAAAATAGGCTGGATGTGGATGGCTTATTGGTGAATGTTGCTCTGCTAGGGGGTAGACATGTTCTGTTAATAGATAATATGGAGGGTTGTCTAGAGGAGTTTATTGATAAAAATAACGAGTTGGTGGAGTCTTGGTTCGAATGGATACAGCCAACTTCGTTATTTACTAAGCCATCGAGAAACAGGTTGGTGTGGCTTCGTTTTAATGGTGTTCCATTGCGAGCATGGAGTGAGAGATGTTTCTGGGAACTAGCAGCTTTAATGGGTGAAGTAATACTAGTTGATGATGATACAAAATCTAAATCATTTTTGTGTGAAGGTCGGGTCTTGGTATTGTGCGATGATGACAGGAAAATTGCGCAGACAATCACGTTAATGGTGGATGGGGAGTCTTTTCTGATCAAGGTATCAGAGGAGGAGTGGCGTATGGATCCGGACTGGTGGCTGGCCGGTGAACGGCGGAGCTCCGGTACGAGGTTGGATGTGTCCGACATGGAGTCTGATAATTCCGATGACCGTTACAGTGAAGGTGGGGAGAGAGCAGTTATGGCCGAAGATGGTGCAGAAACGGACGTAGAATCAAATCTGAGTTTAAAACAGAATTTGGTTCAAAATTTTGAATTAAATGGGCTGGAGATGGATGGGCTGGGTAATGTGGGCTCGGTTGGGCCAAGGGATTGTGAGGCTGAGGAGCTGGGTGTAGAAAATGGGTCTTGTGAGGGGATTAGGCCTGCTGGAGTGCCACAGACAGGAGCTGCTTTGTCGGCTAAAAAATGCAAGAAATTAGGGGACATTTATGCCGGGGTTGGGGTTGCGGAGGAAACGAGGGAGATGGGGCTGCAGTGGGTGACGGGAAGAACCAAATGTAGGAAGGAAAGAAGGGAAATAGCAAGACAATCGGAGCAGGGGACGGAATCATGGAAAGCTGGTTTATCTTTGTCGGATGGCTGCATCCAAAATCGGAACAATCTTATCCGGCAGCAACTGGAGTTGGACGAGGTACGAAGGCTGTTTGGGTTGGGGAAAAGATTGGGGATCCAATGTCAGAATAATGAGGAGGAGGTGATTTCAAGATTGGCGGCTTTGGAAGGACGAGATGAAGCTAATTTTAGAAGGACCTGAAGTTCGGGTGTGGAGTTTTGCTGAAATCAGTGAGTTGAATTTTTATCATTATGAAGTTTATTTCTTTTAATGTTAGGGGATTGGGTAGTGGGTTGAAAAGGAGGGAGATTCTTAAGTTAGTTAAGAAGGAGAATCCAGATTTTTTGTTGCTTCAAGAAACTAAATTGGAAGAGGTTGAGGAGTCTTTGTGTCGGGCATTGTGGAACTCAGAAAATTTTGATTGGGTTATGCAAAAATCAATGGGTAACTCAGGGGGCTTGTTGTGCATTTGGAATAAAAGCTGTTTTAGTAAACAATGTGTGATAGAGGGGAGCGGCTTCATTGGGGTTTCGGGCGAATGGGGTAAGGAGAGGAAAAAATGTAATGTAATTAATGTGTACGCTCCTTGTGATAGGCAGAGGAAGGTTTTGTTGTGGGAGGAAATTGCTGGACGAGTTTTAGAAGAGGGTGGTTGTTGGCTGTTAGCAGGTGACTTTAACGCTGTCCGGAATGTATCAGAACGAAAGGGTAAAATGAAGGAGACGCAGGATATGCAAGATTTTAATCACTTTGTGGAAAGCACGGGATTAATTGACGTTTGCTTGCGAAATAGAAAGTTTACCTGGTATAGACCGGATGGATCCTCCATGAGTAGAATTGATAGATTTTTGATGTCTACAGAAATGAGTTTAATGGCCACGGATTGGGTTCAAGAAGGTGTGGCAAGGTCAGTTTCTGATCATTGTGCAATAATTCTGAAGGCAAGGAATGCAGATTGGGGTCCAAAGCCTTTTCGGGTAATGGACGCATGGCAACAACACCCAGATTTCAGAAATTTTGTAGATGATAAGTGGACAGCTTTGCAAGTTGAAGGATGGGCGGCTTATAAATGCAAGCAGAAGCTGAAGTTAATGAAGGATGAATGTAAAAGGTGGAATAAGGAAGTTTTCGGTAATGTGGAGACTCGATGGGGGATATTATCAAAGGAAATTGAAGCACTGGATATAAAAAGTGAAGAGATTGAATTAGATGAGAATGAGGTGTTATTCCGAAAGGAGTGTTTTCAGGAGATGTGGGACATTTCGAGGAAAAGAGAGGCTATGTGGAAGCAGAAGGCTAGAAACAATTGGATTCGTCTTGGAGATGCAAATACCGCTTTTTTCCATAGGAGCGTTCAGGCACGGAGGGCACAAAATGCAATTTCAGGGATCTTAGGAGAGGATGGGTGGGTCGAGGAGCCAACTAGGGTGAAAGAGGAGGCAGTGAGGTATTTTAGTCAGTTGTTTCAGAATGAACAGTGGAAACGGCCAGTGTTGGGAGGAGTTCATTTCAACAGAATTTCAGTTGCACAAAGAGAGTGGCTGGAAAGACCTTTTTCAGTAGAGGAGATTGAAGAGGGATTACAAAGCTGTGATGGGGCGAAGGCGCCAGGACCAGATGGGTACAATTTCAATTTTATAAAATTTGCATGGAGCACTTTAAAAGAGGATTTTGTGAAGTTTTTGTTGGAATTTCACCAACATGGGAGGTTAGTAAAAGGTTTAAATTCCTCTTTTTTGGCTTTAATTCCTAAAAAGGTAAATCCAGTGCATTTTAAGGAGTATAGACCCATTAGCTTGATTGGCTGTTTATACAAATTACTGGCAAAAATACTGGCGAATCGACTAAAAATGGTGATGGCAGATATCATTAGTGATTCACAGTCAGCCTTTGTTGGTGGTCGGCAGCTAGTAGATAGTGTGCTGATCTTGAACGAGGTGGTAGATGAGGTGAAACAGCGAAGACAAGAGAGTTTTATCTTTAAGGCGGATTTTGAGAAAGCTTATGATTGTGTGGATTGGAAATTCCTTGATTGGATGATGGAACAAATGGGGTTTGGAATTAGGTGGAGAAAGTGGATTTATGAATGTCTTTCGACAACTCGGATATCTATTTTAATAAATGGAAGTCCGACAAAGGAGTTCGCGGTTGGCAAGGGTCTTCGTCAAGGAGATCCATTGTCCCCATTTTTGTTTCTGTTAGTGGGTGAAGGGTTGTGTGGTATGGTTAGAAAAGCAGAGGCAGAAGGGCTTTTTAGAGGAGTCAAGATTGGAGAGGGGGGTATGGTGGTGTCTTTGTTACAGTTTGCGGATGATACTGTTTTTATGGGAAAGGCAGACGCAGAAAATTTAAGGACAGTGAAGGCTATTCTACACTGGTTCGAATTAATTTCGGGATTGAAGATCAATTTTTGCAAGAGCCATTTATACGGGTTTAATGTTACAGATGGGTGGTTAAATGGTGCAGCTGATATTTTGCATTGTAAGCTAGGAGCGATGCCTTTTATTTACCTTGGCTTGCCAGTTGGAGGAAGGCCGGGGAGGAAAAAGTTTTGGGTTTCTGTGCTGGACCGTTTTCGAAATAAGCTTGCCGCCTGGAAACGTTCACTGCTGTCCTTTGGAGGTCGAATTACCTTGCTCAACTCGGTACTTTCTGCTCTTCCTATTTTTTATTTGTCGTTATTTAAAATTCCAAAATGTGTTCTTGTTGAGTTAGTTAAGATTCAGAGGGATTTCTTTTGGGGTGGAGCAAATTTGGAGAGGAAAATTGCATGGGTAAGCTGGGATCATATTTGTGTGGAAAAGGAGAGAGGGGGTTTAGGAGTGGATGATTTAAAGAGGAGAAATTGGGCTTTATTGGGTAAGTGGTGGTGTAGGTTAGGTGATGGTGTAGGGGGATTATGGAAGAGAGTGATCTGGGAAAAGTATTATGGGGGTCGAGAGGAGGTTGATATTACTTCTTTCAGCTCCATGCATATGTCTCGAGTGTGGAAGGACATTGTGGGTGTTGGAAGTGGGTCGGAGAGGGTGGGTGTAATGCTAGGAAAAGGCTTTAAATGGGAGATTGGTGATGGAAGCCGAGTGGTTTTTTGGGATGATAGGTGGGTTGGGGATAGACCGTTAAAGGATTTATTTCCGAGATTGTATGCGTTATCGTTGACCAAGGGGGGGCTTTTGAAGGATATGGGTTTTTGGAGTGAGGGTACATGGGTATGGGATTGTAGATGGCGACGAAGCTGTTCCGGGAGGGTTGGTGAGGAGGAAGAAAGGTTTAGGGAGATTATTAATAGGATCAAGGTAAAGGAGAATAAAGATGATTTATGGAGATGGGTTCATAGCACTGATGGTGGTTATTCTGTTAAGGATGCATATGGTTTTTTAGCTCCTAAGGATGATCTTTTGGATGCGAAATGGGTGAGAATAATTTGGTGTAAGTTTGCTCCATCTAAAGTGAGCGTTTTTGGTTGGCGATTATTTTTGGATAGGTTGGCAACTAAGGTTAACCTATATAGGAGAGGGATTACACTGCTGGGGGGGGATGTGAGTTGTGGATTATGTGGGGAGGGAGTGGATCAAGTAAATCATATTTTTTGTGAGTGTAAAAGAGCTTGGCTAGTGTGGATGAAGGTGGTGCAATGGTGGGGATTACAGGGGGTTTTGTCGAAAGACATTTTTGGTGTGGCAGAGTTCGTGACGCATGGTA